TACCTGTTATTGAAACACAAGCTGGAGATGTATCTTCTTATATTCCTACCAGCAGGGTTACCTGACCGAACGTTCGGGGCCCCCCGGGCTGGCCCCCGAACGTTCGGGCGTTCGGGGTCCCGTTCTGGGGCTGAACACCTTTGGGTTCGACCGCTGCCAAAAACAATTTCGGGGCCTAAAAATAAGTTCTGTTTTTTGCATTTTTTTTTGTGAGCTCTCTATGATGGAACCTACATGCCTATAAATTTTGAAGCCATTCTGCTAAGCCCAAAAAACATAAAAAATCGTCACAGATGGGGGTGTCAAACGTGCTCGCCCACTCACTTTTTTGTTTTTTTTCACTTTTAACTTTTTGTTTTCACTTTATTTCGGAGACAAAAAAATTTTACTATTTTTTGAAAACTTTTTAAGGAGTTATTGATTATGTAAACTACATATCTGTAAATTTTCAGGACATTTGTCAGTGCCAAAACATAATTAAAAATTGGCAAAGATGGCGGTGTCGAAAAGGTGCTGGCACACTCACTCATTTTAATTCTCTTTTTTTTTTTTCTAATTTTTATTATAGTGTTTATTTTCTGTATTTGATTTTTAATTCAAATTAGGTAAAGAATTTGGATGTAGTGACCAGGCAAATGTTGTTTAGTTTATCTTTCTCCATAACATATGTTTTTTTCAGAATTTTTTGAAAACGTTTTTTTTTTTTTTTTTTTTTTTTTGGTCCGGGTTCGGCCCGAACGGCCGAACGCCTTCCGAAGGGGTCCCGTACGTTCGGGCGTTCGGGTTTGGGCGTTCGGCCCGTCCCGAACGCCGGCAACCCTGCCTACCAGACCGACTCTACTTAGCCTTGAGTACACTAATATTTTTCTTTTTTTTTCTTTTTTTTTTAAATGTGAATCAGACATGCAGTTGTGTTGATAGCAAACTATCAATTTCACCTCACACTACCTACCTACCACTACTACTCATAGCTTTAAAAAAAAAGATAGCAAGCTGTCAGAACCACCTACTGGAATTTGTCAGGTAGAATACACAACTGTCAGGGCGGTTTGTCTACATGACCTCCTATGGTGAGAGATGATATGTACCAATGTCATACTAATCTCAAATTATATAGCCAACCAAACTGTTGACAAGGATAACCTGAACATGCTATGAAGTAACTAGATGCATTAAACAACCAGTACTTGGCCCAGCTATGGACCGTCGGAAAAAAATAGATTAGAAACGTTTCTAGTGGGATGAATTTGGGCGCTCCTGTAGTAGCCCATACATTTCCTAAAATTGTGGTGCGTTACGGTCTCATTAGACACTCCTAAAAATGCCTGTTTTAAGGATTGCATAGTGGTTGCACACATTCCTAAGTCCGATTTTGAGATCGAAAATGTGAAAACGGCGTTAGGATTCGTCCTAAAGAATTTAGGATTCCCCAGGCAAATTTTCCTAAATTTTTTACTTGCCCCCGACTTACTGAAATTTTTAGGAAGCCGCGTTTGATGGAGTCGTGGCGTCGCGCGGATGGCACCGTCGTCTCGGACTCCGTGGTGCAGAAGTTGCCCGTTGGGCCCGGCGTCGGACATCGGAGGCCTTCGGTGGGCCGGTGGTGGGGGTGGACCGTGGAGGGCGAGCGGGGGTGCCCTGTCATCCGTAGTCGACCGTTGGCTTCGATGCGAAACGCGGAGGAGGGTGACGACTTGCACAGCACGACATAACGACGACCTGCGGGCAGTGGAGGGGCCCCAATGGTCGAAATTTGAGCCGCTGGCGTCCGCTTGTGTCGTCCTCCGTGCGCTTCTCACCTCCCCATCCTCAACCGGCCAGGGCCCACCGCCGTCTGTACCACGGACACCAAGCTGCAATAGGCGGACATCGACGGCGCGGCTCCGTATACGTATATGAGAACTGGCCACGGGAGACCCGTTAGGACAGTTCCTAAAAGATTTTTTTTAGGATTGCGTGCAACGACGCCGCAGCAAATCCTAAAATTCTTTTAGGACTCGTCCTAAAGAATTTAGGAATCCTTTAGGAGTGTCTAACGAGACCCTTAAACCACCAGTACTTGGGCACTGCGCGCCGCGCCGGCCGCCCAAATATCGAAGCAGCGCGGGCTGTCGATTCGATTTATCGACGGCCCGCCGGCCGCGGAAATCGCGTAGCATTAACGCTAAGGCGTCGCCCAAGTACTGGTGGTTTAACGGGCTTGACTCTAGGAAGTACTGGTGGTTTAGAACAAATAAAGCACAAAGCACAATGCCGCTCGGGACGCTCCTTTTGGCATCCTCGGGGCCTAGGAAGACTCCTTCAGGGTTTTGAAGGAAATTTTCGCCGTCGTTCCACCTATCCTCAGGGTGGTCTCTCGACCATTTTCATAATATTACAGTCGGCACGGGGGGGAGGGGGGGCACAATGCCTTGGTCCATTGGGTGATGTCTGTCTAGCGACGGTGTGGTCCAGGCACGGGAAAATTTCAAAGGCGCTGGCCACGGAAAGAAAAGAAAAAAAAAATTACAAAGCAATGACCTTGTTATTGGATTCGCCACCCCCCCAAACCCCTATTCGGACTCTTTCCTCGTTCGCTCTCTCTCGTCGAGAAGTGAGTAACATAGCCACTAT